GAGAGCATTAATTAAATGCATTAATTAAATGCATAGATAACAAAACTTTACAAGATTGGTAAACTCACACAAAATTTGACCCATCCCTAAACGAAATCCTGTTTTCCTTTATTTAAAAAAAAGAGGCTGAAATCACTATGGGTAAGCGCTCGCAAAGTGTACCTACACAGAAAATAGTACAAGAAAATGGGGATAAAATTGCAGGCGAAGTCTTAAAAGGGTTTTGTAAAGAATCCAAACGTGTAAAAATAAATATTTCTTTAAACGTTATGGTAGTAGGTATGCATATTATATTTCTCTTGCTTCCCTGAACAAAATCCTGGATACGACCTTATACAGATAATATATTGTGTATAAGTAAGAATTTTCTTTACAAGAAACAAATATGATATTTGAAATATTATTTTAAGAAAATAAAACTACCAATATATGACTACTTAATATATATTTAGAATTTATTGTAAGACTTAATATTTCACTCCAAACGAAATTTCTCGAGTTCAATTGCGACATGAAATGTCCAATTAATATTTTACAGTTGTTTTATCTCAAATAATAAGCCTCTGGTTGTGTGTGGTTTGTTTTTGTACGCTAAATAAATTATAGTCAGTTGTCACGGACCCAAAAGGTTATCAAACCTAACGACCTCTGATTTATTTTATTATACCGATTTATTTTTCAAAAAATCTAAACGATTTATTTACGGTATTTATGTGTTTATTTATTTGGATTTAATGAAACACGATTGTTGTTATTTATTAACAGGATTAAGTTATTGCAAATTACTAGCAAAACAATCCTGGTATGGCATTTATTTACTTGATCCTCATATCAACCAAATAAAGATCTTCCAGGCCCGTAGCCAGAAATTTGGTTTGGGGGGGGGCCTAAAACGTAGTAATAATTTTTGGGTGGTAGGGGGGGGCGGAAATGGTTGATGGATATTTGTTATTAAAGTTGGACACATCAGTAAAAAACTGCTTTATTGTTATTAATATCATCACTGTATTTTAATTGTCAGTCACGCACATACACATCAATTGTCAAACAAAAGCGTCAATTTCAGTCGAAAAAATTTAAAATTTTAACCTTCGCGATTTCTTTGCTGCCATAATCTCAAGAACCTCATTCGGATCGATACCTAAGAGCCGTTTCACATGCGACTGAAAAAGTCCTGACGATCAGTCCTGATGATACGGACTGACGGTCATGGCCATTGTTTCACAAGCAACGTATAGTACGGAAATGTCTACTACGAGACGGTTCTCAGCGCCTCCAGAACTGCGCTGTTGCCGCTTTTTGTATAAAGAGAATAATACAACGCAAAATTTTAAAAGTTCTTTTTTGCTTCCGCAAAATTTTCAAAATCCGGAACTACTATTTCTGCTACTTCTTCAAATGCTTTGTTCTTTGCATCCATTTTTTTATAGTTCTCATCATCTGCATACCAGATGCATCTTCGCTGTTCGATGCTACTTATTACAATTTCTGTATCAATGCGTAAACTACTTATTGTGCAACACTGTTTCTGCTGACCGTACGTACCATATGAAATACTCCATATAACTAACAGCCCTTAATAGTCCTGACGGTACGCAGTGCGCACGGGCTGTCCCGATGCCCGTGCCGACGAATCAGTCAACCGATGATACGCAGTGCATGTGAAATAGTTCATTTAAACAATGGCCCCTAGTCATCAGGACTGACCATCAGGACTGATCGTCAGGACTTTATCAGTCGCATGTGAAACGGCTCTAAGTTTCCATGAATTGACAGTACGGCGAGTGCACTAAGTCTTTCGTTGCCCGTTGAGTTACGTAAGTAAGTCTTGATTCTTTTCATTGTCGAAAATGACCTTTCCACACTTGCCGTTATGACCGGAAGAGTTGCCAAAACTGTTAATAGATATTTGATTGTTGGATTGAAGCTGTACACATATTCATTTTTAACACTTAAAAAACTACGAAAAAAATCAGTGTTAACGTTTGAGCCTCAAACTTTGAGGTTATGCGAACACTTTCATGTCTCCGGCTATTCGTAAGGTCAAAATGCACATTACTTCCCTTTCAATTCATTATTTTTTGATTTCTTGAGAAACCCAACAATACTTGTTTGGCCTTGTGCACGTTTTATTTCAATTTCGATTTTCGTAAACAATATTTAACTTACGCCAGTAAGTTACTGGCGGTAACAGTTGCTTATCGAAACTGCAACTGAGTGTGAGTTCTGATTCGGATCGATATATCTCAAATTGGATCACAAAAAATTGCGCGGGAAATTTCAAACACCAGTAAAGCGTGAAGTTGTCATAAAAAATATGGTTTGTAATCGATAGACATATTTTTAAAACATGATTCACATATTTAGGAAAATTTTAGGGTTCACGGAATTTCGGGGGGGGGCCCGGGCCCGTCGGGCCCTACGGCTGGCTACGGGCCTGAGATCTTCCTAAATGTTAGATTAGTTTTAAATTAAAAATTAAAACTAGGTATTTACTTCCGAGGTAAGTACCCGAAACACGATTTTATCCACGCTTTGGCAAATTTATTAAGCATATTTAATCATCATCAAGTAAGAATTTAACTAATTATTAACAAAATAGTTTTTACGAAAAAACACCGTTGCACTTTCTTGTGAATTTTAATTATATCTAATAAAGCAAATTTTTAATATTGATAATAATAATTATAAAACCAAAATTTAAAAACCACTCCGCTCAAGTGGATCAGATAAGAAGCGGTAAACGCTAAGCGAAAAACTTTTGAAAATACTGTTGGAGAAGTATGTCAACTGGACCAGATAATACAATGTCAATACTATCGAAGAACTTTTAAAAGTACAAGTGTAATAGGTATAATAATTATATCTGTACTCAGAGTTCACGATTTTTCTTAAGTTGTTTTGGAATCTACATCGACATTATGTCAAAATTATCAATATTTTCCAGCCTTATTCTTTTGCACTAGACCATGTTCTTGTTTCTTCGAAAGGTCTGTTTAAAGGGTTACGCCTAGAGAATGCAATCTTGGTATACCAAGATCTCGAAATACCAAGATCTCGCACTAATTCTGCACGAAAATCATGCGCGATCTCTCAAGATTTGCGAGATTAGGACGCAGCGCATTCCATGTGTGTTTTGTGTTTTTTGAGAAGTCATTTTCAAAATAATGTATACCTAGTTTTTTCAATAAATTTATGTTTATGTTTTTTGGTTCAATAGCTTGATGATTATTCCTATATAATATTAAATACCACTATAGTGGTACAATTTTACGAATGTTTTTTTTTATAAATTTTGCAAGTGGCATTAAATTTAATGAAAAGTCTTGAGTAAATAAAAATCAAAAATTTTATTACGAGTGGTATTCGGCAAGACTATTTCACGAATATTTTTTTTAATTAGAATTAACTGCATGATTTTTTTTACCAAACGCACATTTTTTGACATTTTTATTTTAAAATGAGAAACGTCAACATTGACCATTATTTTTCGCAGAGCAACCAATTGGTTGGTCGTATAAACGAGTGGTATTTTTACCTAAATAGGTAGTAGTTTTATCGCTGCAACACTGAAAAAATACTCGTTTTTTTGAAATCTGATTGGTGCATAAAGTAATGAGTGGAATAGTCTTAAATAAATTATTTAATTTATGCTTTATTTCATTATTTTCCCTTTACGATATAACCTAACAAAGTTGTAATACAAAAAATTATACTAATTTTTTTTTTATTAATTTTAAATCTGCGAGATCTCGCAAAATACCGAGATCTTGCGAGAAAACACCTCTTAAATCTTGCTATACCAAGATTGTACATTTTCCTGCAAGATTGTTACGCCTTCTTTTTTCGCCTCGAACATTCGTTTCTCTTTTAAGCTTCATTCAGAACCTCAAAATTAGTGGTTTCAATTATACTTATAATTAACACAAAACGATAATTCACAATGCGCAAAATTAACATCTAAAATTAAGGGAATTTGCTAAAAGATTGTAAATTCTGACATGTAAACCTGATCGTCGACATAAAGAATATTAATTATAATAAAATAATATTTTTTACAATCAATACAATAATATTTTTATAACCTTTCCTTCACTGGAAAATCTTCAAACTTTTTGCTATATACACTGTGCTATAAGTTTAATTTTATTTCAATGTTTTTTATGGATAATTTGTCAGAATAAATTTTTTTTTTTAATTTTTTTTTTTTGTATAGTAATTATTGTGCATTTTTATTTAGCTACAAATACGTTCCTACTTAAAAATTTTCAATAAAATTTAGTATAGGGTCGTTTTGAGGGGTAATAAATCCAGTGCCGTGTATAGATTTTTTTTAATCGTTAATATAAATTCATATATTATAATAGGCCTTGTATTTTGTGAAAATATGGCGTGTTTTGCTTCAAAAAGTTCAGTTTATCAATGATCTACACTTTAAAACAAATTCAGTTAAAATTGCAAAAGAAATAAAGATTTTACAGGAGTGAGTCGCACACAAATGGGTCACACTGTATATAGGTTTTATTACAGAACGTAAGATCGGCAGAAATTCTTTTTAGGTTATAAACTTACTATTACCTATAACCTATAGTTATTTTAAAAATAACGAGTTAGTTTAATTTAACTAATTTTGGTAATTATTATCTATAATGTGTTACATTAACCGAATTTAAACCAAAACCAAAGAGTTGGAAATTACCAATATGTAAATAAAGACCCAATCTATTTTGTAAATTATTAATTATATTTTTAACCTGCTCTTGACATGTGTGAATACTACTTGTATATAACATAAATAAAGATTATTATTATTATGATTATTATTATAAATAGAAATCCATTTGTGTGTAACTGAAATTTTATGTTCAGAAGATTTGGGGACCCCCTAGACCAGAAGCTGGTGGCTATAGCCACCAATGCCAAATACATAATTTTAATAAATTTTAAATACCGAATAATTATTAATTAATATTTACTCATTTTCCGATAATTATTTTCAGGAGAGCTTTTATCCGATCAATACGAAAAACCTGACATCGTAGCCATTAAAGTCTTAAAAGAAACAGCATCAAGAGAAGCTGAAGAGGATTTTCTCCGGGAAGTGGAAATAATGAGTGCTTTTAAACATCCAAACATTTTATCTCTGTTGGGAGTTGTTTTAAGAGGTAAATTAAAAATAAATTTCCTAAATTTACAATATACTATTAATTACTTTTTTGCAGAGGGTAACGTAAACCCAATGATGGTCTTTGAATTTATGCCGCATGGGGATCTCGCAGAGCTTTTGCGTTTTCAAAAGAAAACATTAATTGAAGAGGATGTTCCCCAGTTATCTGACAAACATTTAATTTCGATAGCCCTCCAAATAGCGAGAGGTATGCGATATTTAGCCGCGCAGAGATTCGTGCACAGGGATTTGGCTTGCAGAAACTGTCTGGTGGCAGAAGGTCCGACGGTAAAAATCGCTGACTTTGGAATGAGTCGTGATGTATATACGTGCGACTACTACAAAATTGGAGGCTCCAGATTACTTCCGGTACGCTGGATGTCACCGGAAAGTGTAGTGTATGGTAGATTTACTCTTGAATCCGATATTTGGTCTTATGGCGTGGTATTATGGGAGATTTACAGCTTCGGTAAACAACCTTACTACGGTCACTCCAACGAGGAAGTTGTGAAACTGATTTTGGATGGAATCATGCTCATCCCTCCGGACGATTGTCCTTCGTTGATATGCGAATTGATGAAAAACTGCTGGAAGACCGAACCCAGACACAGGATAACGTTTCCAAACATCTGCGATAAACTTGAACTGACATATGAAAAGTATATCGAACGTGAAAACGAGGACAGCTTCAGAGTGGAGAACGAAGTAAAAAAGTTTATACCATTCACGATAAACAGAAGCCTGCCAAGGCCGCCCATAAAAATGTTTAATCAAGAACAGGATCTTGATGCGCAGGGCTATTTACTACCAAGGGAACTGATGCAGCCCATTCACTATTTAGAAACGCTGCCCGACTGACCATCACAGAAAATCAGAAAGATTTTCAATAATAATAAGATGGTGATGTGGTCCAGCCACGGGGATTATTTGGGAAACATTGTTTAAGTACAACATAGAAGACTGAAGATATTTGAAGTGTCCATTAAATGTAAGAATAGGGAAAGAATAATTTCCAAACATCCTTAATGAAAGTAAATGTACCTAATTGTAAATAATAAAGGTGGTTCGGAAATTGATCCACCATGTATTGTAAATTTGTGTTTTGTAAATAGCATTATATTTCTTTCATTTTTATATATTTTTATGAAGTTATTTTAATTTTAATAAAATGATACGTAATAAACGAGTTATAAAATAACGGACTAATCCCTTGCAAAGATTCGTTTGGACAGGGTATATTTTTAAAAATTAGTGCCTTAAGTCACATAATCAAAGCATTGATTTTATTTATTTTGTTAATAAAATATACCTCAAATATTTATTGTAAATAAAGTTATTTAAAAGAATGCAGGATTTCTGTTATTAGGAAGATAAAAGATATGTTCATAATTAATTAAAACCAAAACAGTTAGCAGCATTCTTATCTGAACATCGAATTTAATCTAAAAGCTGTTGTAATGAAGTTAATTTTTTAAAACTGTTTAACAGTAAGTACCTAATAATTTAATATAAAATATACATGTGAATCCCGTTTAAACCTTTCCTCTCCTTTCATATAAAACTAATAATGAATGTTTCTGATAATATGTATTTTCCCCTTACCTTAAACAATCAAAAACATTGTCTTAGCCAAAAACTCAATGTCAATATCTAACAATATTGTAAAAACCATATTAATGTTTAAGACTAAAGGGTAACTAAAATTGCGTTTAGTTTAAACGTAAATATGTGCCAATAAATACCCATGCCTATACAATTTTTTGTACACGTATTATAATACCTAGTAGGTATACCTAAAATAATAACAATTTTATTAAGGCTTATTTATTTTATGAACCAAAGAATGTCAACCAGCCATTATTTATTGTAATAAATAAATATATTTTTAAGTAAACCATGTACATAAATGATGTAACGTTTTATTAAAAACAAAATGTTAAAATATTTGAATTTATTATTTTATTTAAAACTGCATACCTATTTACCCTATTTCGTTTTCAACAGTAAACTCCTTCCATTTACAATAACCAACAAAAATATTTTGACTACGAATATAAAAAAAATCCTCACCAAATATGTATATGGGCGTTCCAGCTCAACTCTAAGAGGTCGCTGTTTTTATTTTAGTTTCCCATTTAATTAACATGGAAAAAAATAGTTTTATGTTTGGAATTGTATACCTCTGTATCAAAGTAGCTTATGGCAATGATCATTGCAGTTTCTTATATAAAATGTAACGCTCTACAAAAAAGGTCTCTTATTTTTTTTCGATAAATTGATTTCTTCTAGAGTTATTCGAGGTCAAAGTTTGATTAACATAAAATTTTGTTTTTTTTTAATTTTATGGTACAATTAGCAGACGGGAGGTGAAAGGGGGCAAAATAAGGCAGCGGGGGGCAAAATGGGGTACCCAAAAAATTTCGTAAAAAAATTTTTTTATATTGTTTTTTCGGTTTCTAAATTATTTGAAAATATATTGACTCACAAGTTCACGCTTTTAATCGAAAATAATTATTCTGAGCATGTAGAGCGAGAAAAAGGATGGTACAATTTTGGAAAACTTTTCATATGCTCATTTTATTAATATAGGTAAAGGTAAAAATCTGTAAAATTTTCCGACTAAATTAGGCAACCCATATAACTGATATCATATACAGAAATCTGTAATTAAATAATTATTTTAATAGACGTTAAATGACACATTTTCACTCATATTTTGAAGTGTGAAAATTAATCATAATTTTTTTAAGCATGGCCCAAAATTTACATCAAGAAGATGATGTCCCGTTGTTAATTGTTTAATTTTATTTTTATACCTAATTATCATTAATTACCGAAGCCCATGTCTGGATTAACTATTCAAAATTTATTCGACACAGGAAGTATTAATAATCACATTCTATGTGATTCTTGGCTTTTGCCGAATTTTAATTTGCTGTTTATTTGAATTTGTACGCGTTAAATTAGTGGAGGGGGTTAAAAAAACATGCGCATTGCGCAATCCGTCACTTTTAAACGTGAAGTTCAAGATGGCAGACGTTGCAGAGGATCTGATAATGGAACAAGATAATGATTCTTGTTTAATTATGGAAAATCCAGAGTAAGTTTTTACCTAAATATCACCTTAAAATTATTTTGCTCATTTAGCTGTAAAAGGCCACCATTTCCTTAAGATGTCACCAAATATGTCACGCAAATGGCAAAGTACGTTCTTACATTGTTATCATTGCTGCGTGGTAAAATTATTTATTTTTAACCTTATCCAAAATGTGTGATCGAACTAAATGCAGTTTTATGGAAAAGGTCAAAATTCCAGTACCATTTATACACCTCCACAAGTTTTGTTTCTTTGTCATGGCATGAATATATTAAACAAATTCTGACACGATTTTCAACATTGCTTTAATAACAGTTCAAGACATTTAGTCACTTTGTATTCAACATGTTAGATAAAAATAATCCACAAAAATACTCTTGCAATGATAATAAGTAGGTTACTAAAGTTACAGATTATAAAAGACTAAAGTCAAAGTGTCATAAACCAAAATTTAATGGTTTTCTTTACAGGCTCGCAGAACTAAAAAAAGAAAATGGCAATCAACTCTTTAAAATTAAACAATACCGATCAGCTCTCACTCTGTATACTGAAGCCATCCAACTTTGCCCAGAATCAGCAGCTTATTATGGCAACAGAGCTGCTTGCTACATAATGCTTGGTCGCTTTGAGGAAGCATTAGACGATGCCAGAAAATGTGTAAAATTAGACCCATCTTTTGTTAAAGGATACCCCAGAATTGTCAAATGTGGTAAGTACCCAAATAAACAGTTTTTTATATAAAAAATGCAAAAAATTACTATTTTTAACAAGTGGCTAAATAAAGAAATTGGACTTTAGATATTACTAAAAGTCTACTGCTTACAAAAACAGGTTTATTTTTACACTTTTTCTTATTTATTTTTATAAGGGGACCAGTGGAAAAATTGCAAGATGGAAAAATAAATAAATGTTTATTAAACACAATTTGTTCAATCTAACAGCTTAATTAAATTAAATGATTAAATTTTACAACACAATTAATCTTTAGAAAGTTTTACCAGTGGAATTAATTAAAATTATTTAATTTTTAACACATTAATTTTGTTCAATACTTAATCTTCATTTTTATAATTTATATTTATTGTGTTATTATTGGCAAATAAATACCAGAAGAAAGAATGAATAGTCATTTTCAACAGTTTTATAGACTTAATTAAAGTCCACAAATTTTTTTGCATTAGTTATGTGGCAATGTTGATTCCTATTCAATACATTATGTTTTTGAATTAATTAATTAGCTTATACTTATTCAACTGCAATTTTAAGACCATGTTTTCTGTAGAAGAACTTTCATGTTTTAAAAGATATTAAAGAAAAGCTAACTTAATAATAACTAACTTTTATAATAAATCCAAGGACATCCTTACTCTTTTCAGTTTATACCCATTAACATTTTTAGGAATTGCTTTGGGTGACTTAAGGACTGCCGAACAGGCCATCCAAGCTTATCAAGCACTTGAACCAAATGGTACTGCCATAAACAGTGAATTGTCAGCAATAGAAAAAATTAAACAATATGAAGGTGAAGCAACTAAAGCTTATGAGAAACAAGACTACAGAAAAGTTGTCTATTGCATGGATCGCTGTCTGGATGATGCCCCAACTTGCCAAAGATACAAAATTACCAAGGCTGAATGTTTAGTCTTTTTGGGTAAGTGAAAAATTGTGTTTTGGTTTATTGAATATAAAATTATTTTTTTATTTGAACAAGGACATTGTTTTCATATTTATTTGTATAATAATGACTATCTAACCTTGAGGTAAAATTGGTTTAACTTACTGTATTTTTGATCATAAATTAGTTTTTTTTATTTATAACCTTATGAGGTCATTATTTCAATATTAAAAATTAAATGATACAGTTTAACTAATGAAACAGTGGTTTTCTGCATCTTAAAATGTGTCAAATTGAAAAAGTATTATCATTTAAGTAAATTAAGATAAATTAGATTTTTGGTTCACAAGGTTCACAAACAATATTGATTGTTTTGTTAGTTTTATACGCGGATTTGTATGTATTCACAAAATTTTAACAAAACCATTTTTTTATCTGCATTAATATTTATTTTGTTCCTTGACTGTGGTTATGATAAAGCTCTTCTATAATGTCTGGTTAATTTAACACAAGTAAATTTTATTTAATCTTGGATTATTTACCACAAACCAAAATACAATGTTTACTTTAGGGTATACAGGGTGCACCAAGTATCCTATGTATGCATGGGTAACTTTTTTATTTGGAGAGCTATAAGGTTGGTTAAATAACACAAAGGTTGCATAATTACAAGTTAATAAAATGGTATTTAAAAATTGTAAATAAAATCAGCGGTTCTTTATTAATCTAAAAACCTCTTAAAACCAAAATTTCGTTATTCCTGGGAATTTTGAAAAAAAGTAAGTTTTACATGTAAACATAGACATTTATCTACATTTTCATCCAATGTGTGATATTTTTCGCATACTGGATCGTTTATTTTTCCTCTGGTCGCCATATTGGAATTTTACATGGTTAGATAGACAAAAATTAAGGAATCCAACATAGGTTATGGTGGACATTATAAAAAAAGTAGCAAAGAAATTGGATGAAAATGTAGATTAATGCGTATATTTAAAATGTAAACATAAACATTAATCTACATTTTCATCCAATTTTTTTGCTAAACTTTCCATGTAAAACTTACTTTGTTTTAAAATTTCCATGAATAAAAAAGTTATAACAATTTTTGGTTTTGAAAGTTTTTTCAAATATTTTAAAAACCGC